CTGCCATAAATAGTCCCAGTGAGCAGTACCCATAAAAATACAAACAGTTCAGTGTTAACTCCTGGAAAGGCCCAGCACAGACCTGGGACAGGCTCACAGCAGGGCCCAGCCCCATGGGGTCACTGAGCAGCTTCACCCAGCAGGCCCAGCCCCAGCCCTGGTGGGCTCAAAGGGGACCCAAACCTGTTGGCTTTCCCAGCCCTCAGCAGCTTGCCTTGCAGCTAAAGCATTTTATCTCCTGGAACACAGCCTGGCACACCGAGCAGTTCTACCCACCCCAGAGACCCCCAGGAGCCAAATTCCATCTCGGGCACAGACAGGAGGCACGGGAGGAGGAACTGTGCCAGGCCTGGGCACAGACAGGCCCTGCCCTGATCCCAGAGAGGCACCCGTGCAAGGAGAGCACCCAGAGGGCTGTGCCCGCACAGGCAGCCCCCAGAGACACTGGGATTGTCACTGTCACCACCCCAGCCAGGCCCTGTGCCTGACACCCTCTGCCATGGATGTTCATTGGGTGAACATGGACAGTCCCAGCTGGACTCCCCAAAGCCTGTCTGCAAGGTTAGGGCAATGGGAAAAAATAAACAGTATTTATTCTATTTCTCCCTTTTATCTTGCACAGGGCAATCAGTAATTTTACACACTAAATAAGTGTTTATTTTAAATTGAATTTCCCTTCTCCATCTAATAAGCCAGTAGGCACCTTCCACCACTCAGATCTTGGACACTGCTGAAATCACCTGGTTCCTACAACATTACAAATGGGTTTGTGTGCCCTGTTTGCATTAAAACACCACAAATTAGGCCCTGGGTACTGGCCATGCTCCAATGGACACGAGAGCATCCGCATTCCTGCAGAGTTACAGTGCTTCCTCCACAGACTGGATTTATATCCACATCCAAACCAAATAAATCATCAACCACAGCCCCTAAACCAGCTCACTTATCACACCAAGTGTGAATAATGAAATGTCATAATATTTGCCCAAGACACGTGATTTGTTTGCTTTCAATAAATAAAGTCTAGAAGTAAAAAAAAAGAAAAAAAACCAGAGGTAATGCTTCCTCTTGGTGTTGGTCATTGTTGGGAGTGGGAATGGCCTCTGGACAGGAGGAACCAAGGCAGAAAGGGGAGAAGAACCCAGCTGGAGCCAAGGCAGTGCCCGCTACTCAGCATCCCCAGGGCAGGCTGCACGAGCCAGGCCAGGGCAGCCGGGCACAGTCCCAGGCTCAGCCCCAGACTCAGCTCATCCCACCCAGGGCTCTGTGACACCCCTCTGACAGAGGGCACACAGGAATCTCTCTCACTGCTGCTGCATTTACTCGGTGCCTGCAGCCCTGGTCTCCATCAGCTGTCAGCGTGCCAAGCTGGGATCTCAGGTGCTCACAAACTGCTCAGCTTTGCCTCTGGTTCAAGTACCCCCCTTTGCACAATCAGGCTAATGCTACCCCAGCCCAGCACCAGTGCCACAGACACAGCCTGGCCTCCACAGCTGCTCTTTGGGAAGGGAAGGGAAGGGGCTCAGCAGCCTCACTGCAGCCTGAGCCCAGCCCAGCACGCAGCTTTGACAGGCAGTGCCACAGGGAAGAGAATCCCAACAGCTCAGGGAGAGCAGGAGGGGGAACAGCAGCTGAAAGCTCCACATGCAAAGCTCCTGGCGCTAGAAATAGGATCTGTGTTCTGTGCTGGGTTGTTAGGAGACTCATCCTGCTGCAGGGCTTGGAAGGATTGTATTTGCAGGCATTGGGAGCCTCCTGGCGTGCCACAGCCAAGGAATGTCCAACCGCTCTGTGCATCTCAGCCACGGGGCAGGCAGGGCACACAGGGCAGGCAGGCTCCCTCCCTCCTGACCTAAACCGGTGCCACAGAGCCCTGTTTGTGCATTCCCTTCTCAGTGAGACATTTTTAACTACCTGGTTTCCCCCTACACCCAGTGCAACTGGGTAGGAGACTTCCTGAGCCATGCTGGGCTCCTGGCAGTGCCCTGGCACCTGGGACAGGGAAAGCATCATTGGACTGCTGCCACCCGGGATCCAGGAGAAAACAAACATCCCCAGGCAGGCTGGGAGCCCTGCTCTGACCAGCAGCACAACTGGTTAACTCTGATTATCTCAGAATACCCCGCTGGTTATGTCAAGGGATAAATCAAGGCAAGACTGTCTCTTGATAAGGAAAAGCCAAGTGAGGCTATTTTAAAATGAAAATGCAGAGGAATTCAGAGTGCCAGTGAGAGAGAAGAGCTGAGATTAGGAGGTGACACAAACACAAGCTGCAAGAGGCCTCTCCAGAGCTGTCCTGTGCCTTCAGCAGAAGAGCAGCAGCACCCCAGGAGCTGCCCAGAGCAGGTTTTGGGCCAGAGCAGCCCTGGCAGTACCCAGGGCAGGGCTGTGAAGCACCTGGCTGGGCTGGGGCTGGTCAGACCCCACTGCTGGAGACACCCCCAGCCCTGCTGAGCCCCAGCACCACCAGCAGAGGGGAGGCAGCTCCTCTGCACCACCAGCAGAGGGGTGGCAGCTCCTCAAGCACCAGCACAGCTCCATCCCCACATCCAGCAGGACAGACACCTGTCCAGCCTTTGGCACCAGCTTAGCCCAGAGCCAGAAGGCCCTGTGGGAGAGGGAATGGGCTCAGCCCTGCCCAAGGGGCTGCACAACAGGAGAGGCAGCTGCAGATGGGGCCTGTGGCACCCAGGTGCCATCAAACAGCCCTTGGGTGCCCCAGTGGGCTCCATCTCCTCTCAGCTCACCTCAGGCACCAACAGCCCCTGGTGTGACCCAGCAGAAAGGTGCCCGGAGCAAAAGAAGCTCAGAGGTCAGACAAAGACAAAAGGAAGAGCTGTTGATCGTGGGCCGTGGGATGAAATGCAACCTCAAGGGGTGTCACAGCTGACCTACACTGTGGGGTTTCCCAAGAAATAAAGAACTCAGAAAAAAGAGCAAATAAAGAAGGATTTCCCAGGACAGCCCAGACCCTGCCCCATGGGCTCATCCCTGCTGAGAGGCAGCACCACCAGCCCCAGCATCCCACCAGGATCCCCAGCTCTTACAGCCAGACCAGGATGCCGAGATGGGTGGCTGTGTATCACAGGGGCAGGAATCTGATATTCATAGACTTTCTCTCTGCTTTAAAGGGCAAGACTCCTTGTATAGAAACAAACTAGGACAACAGCTTGAATGATAAATCACCCTTCTTCTGTACTTCCTCTCTGAAATTTAATTTTAATTGATATTAAACATGACAGAGCTTCTGCTCAAACTCCTATTTGCCAGCCCTGATTTCCGCTGCCTCTGCAGGGCTGATGCCAACACATCCCTGCCCTCAGCAGCCTCTGTGCCACCAGTCCTGGAGGGCTGAGGGGCCACCCAAGCGCCAGGGCACTGCCCAAGGCAAGGCTTTCACCCAGGGCTCTGGCACAAACCCATCCAGGCTGGAGCCCTCCGTGATGCTGACAGGGAGGAGAGCCACACTCCCAATTTCTCCTTCTTTACTATTCCTTCGCTGCAGTTCTGGTCGGCTCATTTCCACAGGAGCTTTGATCTCAGCGAGCTTTATTTCTGCTTTATTCTTCTCTGCTCAAGAGAAGTAAATCCATTTTGCTTGCTGGGTCCTAGGGGCAGGTTATTTATCTGACTTCAAGCAGGCTTCCAGGCCCCCAGCCCTACAATGTGCTCCCACGAGCAGTGCTGCCCTGAGAGCACCCGGGAGGCTGCTCAGGCTGGGGCAGCGCTCACTGCCTGCTCCTACAGGGAAATGCGTCACCAGGATTCTTAATAAATGTTCTCACAACTAAAGGTTTGCATTTCAGTGAAAAACCACCCATGGTATCCGTGTGGGGCAGATCTGTGCAGCAGACGGGGCAGAGCAGCACTGAGCAGCGTCCACTGCCATGTGTGTGTGCCCCTCTGCTCTCACACCGTGTCCACAGCCTGAAGTACTCGGAAATGCATTTATTTATAGCAGCTACAGTGCCAGGACCCTTCCCGTGCCTCTGCCGGCTGCGGGAGGGACGGAGACATTCGCTACCTGCCACTGCTGCTGCCTGGTGTGCGGTGCCGGGACACCGGGCCGGGATACCAGAACGGGGACACTGGGGCGGGGCAGCAGAACCAAGCCGGGCCACCGGGACAGGGACACCAGAACGGGCCGGGACACCGGGGCACAATCGCTGCCCTGCAGTGCCAGCCATGCCCGGGGCTCTGCAGGGGCACCTCCACACCCAGCACCTGCCTGGGCGCTGCTGGCCTCCCCCAGGAGCTGCCATGAGTAGCTCCCCCCTTGCTACTCATTTTTGTAAAGGGCGTTTTTCACAAAACCATCACTTTTAAACAAATCCTCAGATCAGAAAGGCAGGAGCTCACAGGAGACACTGAGGAGGATTAGCGAAGTACAGCCCAGGTTAAATAAATATTAACCAAGTACCCCTGGAGGAGATATTCCAACCACTATGGTTCTGTGGTTTGGTCTTGGATTTCCTCGAGTTTCTGTGGGTGAGAAGGTGGAAGCTGAGGAACCCAGGCTGGCACCCCAAGCCTTCTCCTGGGCTCTGAACAGCCCCTGAGGAGCTGTGGCCAGCCCAGGACAGGGTGGCACCTCCAGGGGATATTTACAGACACAATTCCTGAATCCTCCCCAAGCTGCTTCATTTACAAATTCACAAACAACTACTTCTCCTAGTCTTTTGAGGACTTTTGCCCCAACTTGGGCATTGTTTCTCCCACACAAGGATAAACTCCCACCAGCACAGCTGGGCTGGGGGCTGCACACCCACCCTGCCCTGGCTCAAAGGCCACCAGCCGCCCACACACATGCCATCCCCCTGAGGTGGCAGCACGGGGGCGGCCCAGAAAAGCCCCTTTAAGGGACACTTCGGGGCGGCCTCGGCAGCCAGGACATTAATTTTAGCCTGGAGCAGTGCCAGGGGCACGGGCAGCTGCTGCGGGCGGGGCCAGCGCCTCCTGTCCCTGTCGCTGTCCCCAGCGCTGCCCAGTCCCGCCCAGCCATGGCCGAGGAGCACCGCGAGCTGGAGGAGCGGATCATCATCAAGGACCAGCACACCAAGGAGATCGACCTGGTCAACAGAGACCCCAAGCACATCAACGAGGACGTGGTGAAGGTAGGGCCGTGCCCCAGCAGCAGCAATCGGCGTTTGGGGTCACACCTCGGGGTGTGCTGGGCTGCACTCAGCCCCTGCCCGTGCTCCTGGTCCGTGTGGCCCCATAGGGCTGTCCCCAGGGTTGTCCCCAGGGCTGGCGAGGTGACAGCCCTGCTGGCCGGGGGCATGCCTGGCTCCAGTTAATGCCACATTTCCCATCCCTTGAATGGGCTCTCCAGTTTCATTGTGGCTTGAAAATTTATGGAGATGCCTGCCTTTGCACCAGCAAGCTGGCAGCCAAAAATAACACAGAAATTAAATATCACCAGTTTAAGGGGATATTGGGAAAAGGCTGCTGGCCTTGAAGGCACCCCAGTGTCAGTGCCTATCGTTTGAGGTGTGTTGGCAAGTTTGTGGAAGATTGCTCTCCCCAGGGCAGCCCAGAGGTGCAGCACCCCCAGCTCCCTCCCTCATTTCTGACCAAGAGGAATTCCCATTCTAACTCTTGGGCTTCCTCTAGACTCCCTTAGAACTGCAAACAAAATTTGTCTCTGTTAGCAAAGATAATTCCAGGCCAAATGAGAACAGGAGGACAGGAGGAGGTGAAAGGGTTTTGTTAAAACCATGTTTGTGACTGTCACAGCAGAAGGGACAGAGGGCACAGAGCTGCTCACACAGGCTTTGTTACAGGCTGTAACCTTGCCAGCACCGCTGAAACACAAACCTCAGTTTGGGCATGAAAGCACCATTACAGCTGCAGCCATGGTGTGGTCAAACAGGATGAGCTGTGACAGTGAGAGCCATTGCTGGGCTCCCTGCTGGCACTGTGACACCTGCCCTGACTGCTCCTGGCACCTCAGCATCCCCTCCAGCATCAGTGCCACTCCCTGCAGTGCATCCCACTGCCCTGGCCTGGGGCTGGAGAGGTGCAGGGCCAGGGGAGCCCCATCTTCCACGGCAGCAGGGGCCAGCAGAACCCTCAGCCCACACTTTGGGCTCCCCAGGCTGGGAGCAGCAGCAGCTACTCATGGATGACAGTGGCAGCTCTGTCCCAGCCATGCCAGGGCCCCACCAGCCCCTCTCCTGAGCCCCTCCATGCCTTTCCCACTCCAGACTCTCCAAAGCCTGACGAGACCTTCCAGGCTCACCCACTCCCGTGGCCATGCTGCTGCTCCAGCATTCAGAGCTCAGCACTCACAGCCCAGCATTCCTCCACCTTAAAATAGCCCGGGAGGGCCGGGGAGGGAGGGCAGAGGCAGCCCGGGCAGGGGCACAGCTCACCCTGCTCTGTCCCTGGCCCATCCCAGCACCAGGGCATGGCAGCAGGAGGGCTCTGAGGCCCGGACAGCAGGAGCTGCAGTGCCCACAGGAGGAAGGGCTCACCTGGCCCTGGATAAACACCTGAGCACCACAGAGCAGCAGCCAGAATTTGGGATCAGGTCACAGAAGCGGCCCTGCCCACAGAGCCTGTCACAAACCCCCTCCAAGCATGGCACCAGAGCAGGGCCTGGCTCACTGGGCGAGGCTTTCCCAGCCCAAAGAGTTCCATGGTTCTATAAAGGGGCAGTACCTGCACGTGCTGCTCCCCAAGCACCTCCAGCAGGATCCAGACTCAGCCTGAGCCCCCACGCTCTCCAGGCCCACTCCCAGTGTGATGGCAGCAGAAGGAGTAATGGGGCAGAGCCCCTGCTTTTATATCCCACTGCTCCCTGCATCAATTGGTCCTGATGAGCTCGTCAGGCAGTTGGGCACTAACCTGGGCCAGTCCCCAGCACACCTGGGCTTCCTAGGGCCTGCTGATGGCACCTCAGGGCCTGCTCTCAGGGCTGCTTCTCCTCATTGCCAATACTGCTGTCAGCACCCCCTGCTCACTCCAGGAAATTAAAGATGACACAGAGTGATTCTGTGATCCAAGTGCTTCCAAAAGCAGAATGGATATTGTTATTTAACACGAATGTACAGACACGTCAGCTGCTGGGGGGAGGCCGGGCTGGTTTTCAAGACAAATAGCTCAGCTCATATATTCCCTGGCAGTGAGTTACACCCCAAGGGGATCTCTGCGTGGAGTTTTGGGGAGTGTGTGTCACTCTGAGACACTCCCAGTGCCTGCACAAATGGCGAGGGCAGGGCTGAGCCCCAGCTCCCTTCCCCAGGAGGAACATGGACAGACAGCACCGAGCACTTCATCCTATGGGTATAAAGAAATAATCCATAAATCCAGAGGGTGCTGGGACTTTATGAGCACAAACACCTTCCTGCCGAGTGGGCAGTCACATCTCTGAATGCTAAAAAAGGGCAGGAATGGGCTCTGGCTGCCTGTGCAGCCAACACTCCCACGCACAGCTCCTGTTCCAGGGGCTCCTGCCTGGCCTCACCTGACTCCCCAGATCAGGGGATGGCACAGGGACTGTGACCCCCCCTGCTGGGGCCCCAGGCGTGGGCTGAGCCGCCCCTGCTGCTCACAGGCTGTGGCTGGGCAGCGCTGGGAGCCCTGAGCCCTCTCCCAGCTCTGTAGGGCTGGCCCTGCCCGGGCTGCAGGGACCCACTCCAGCACTGTCCCCGCTCTCCCCAGGCCCCTCCATTTGGGATCTGCTCTCCCCTCCTGCTCACACCAGGGCCTTTGCTGACCCCCACACCTCCCGTGTGTCCTCTGCTCTCCCCCAGGTGGATTTTGAGGATGTGATAGCTGAGCCCGTGGGCACCTACAGCTTCGACGGCGTCTGGAAAAGCAGCTACACCACCTTCACCGTCAGCAAGTACTGGTGCTACCGGCTGCTCTCCGCCCTGCTGGGCATCCCCCTGGCCGTCCTCTGGGGCTTCCTCTTCGCCCTCATCTCCTTCTGCCACATCTGGGCCGTGGTGCCCTGCATCAAGAGCTACCTGATCGAGATCCAGTGTGTCAGCCGCATCTACTCGCTGTGCATCCACACCTTCTGTGACCCGCTCTTCGAGGCGCTCGCCAAGATCTGCAGCAACGTCCGAGTTGCTGTCCGGAAGGAGACTTAGGTGCTGGCAGCTGCCCCAGCACCCCCACACAACCCCCTCTGTGCAGGCTGCCTGCCCTCGGGCACACAGAGTCCAGTGAGGAACCTGCACATGGACACCCCTGTCCAGTGAGGAGCCCAGACATGGATACCCCTGTCCAGTAAGGGACCAGCACAGGGACCCTGTGGCAGGACCCTGCAGCAGAGCTGGTTCTCAGGGGTGCTCTCTGCTCATGGAGGCAGGCCAGGCTGCTCCTTACTCCACCCAAAGCCAGAAGCCTCAGGAGAAGGGAGCCCATCGTGGCCCAGGAAACAGCCCAGGGGTCCCTGTGCCCTGCAGGCCCCTGGAGCTCCTGGGAGGCGCAGGGACAGCAGCCCCTCCTGGAGCACAGCCCTGTCTGTCCTCCGGTGCTGGGCGAGCACTGGGGCTGCAGAGCTGCTGCTGGCCCCCGCCCAAAGCCTGCCTGCCCCTGCATCCCTTGGGGCTGGTGCTGACAGAAACTCCCCCACAGGAGTTATTGTTGTGGCAAACAATTGCTGTGGTGGGAGCTTCTGCATTAAACTGCTGCTCAAAGCTTTTAGGAATAGAATAGCTAAACCAAACGCTTTTCATGCCTACTTGCATTTCAGCCAAGCTGTGAGAGCCAGAGCAGGCCATGCATGACATGTTGTGTCTGCTCCCAGAGCGTGAGCTGATCCTGGGCCAGCTGCAAACCCGCCCCTGGCACTCGAGGCTCAATTATGTAATTAATTGTGGAGCATCGTTAAGTGCCATGGGCAGGGTCCAGGGCAGGACAGCACGGTGGGAGCCAGCCCTGAGCGTGGCCAGGGGGGACACAGAGCCTTGGGGAACCCCAACTGAGAGACAAGCTGGGCTCTGAGCAAAGCCTGGCTTGGCTTCTCAGGCAATCTCCATGAGACATGCGTTCAGTCAGCTCCAGGCACATGGGGTGTGCATCCCATCCAGGCACATGGGGTGTGCATCCCACAGGCCAGGGCTGTCCCAGGTGCCCAGTGAGCTCCAGCCACATGGGATGTGCATCCCATCCAGGCACACGGGGTGAGCATCCCGCAGGCCAGGGCTGTCCCTCTGCCCAGATGGACAGGGAGAGCAGAGGAGGGAGCCTCTGCCAGGACCCTGCTGCTCCAGCCACAGGGATAGAGGAGCCAGGGGTGAGAGGTGCAGCTCAGAGCTGTTTCCTCCCCTGTACTGTCAATTAACTGCTCGGTCCCTCTTCCACGGAGCTGCACTTTCACTTTGAGGCCCTTGGAGGCTCTTTTGGCTCCAGCCTTAAGTGCTTTGCTGAACCAGGGCCCAGGATGTCTTCTTGTTCAGAGGCTGCTCTCAATTGTCTCCATGTGTGCCTTCCCCTTGGATTCCAACAAAGACTTGGAGCCAAAGTCTCCTCTAGTGCCACGCCAAGGATGAGAAAGAGCCAGGGTTTCTGCTGGAGCTCTTCCAAGGGCTTGGGATCGTATAGTGCTGTTATTCCATAGCAATGTGGTACCCAAGCTCCAGCAACATCAGGGCCCAAGGAGGATGGAGTGATTAAAAAACAAAAAGATATTTAGGTAATTATAGGGAAGTGGAGGAAAGTCTCAAAAAACCCTTCATTTTTTTGTGAAAATAAAAATAATTGAAATCAATTCCATAATGGGCTTATACTACTTGTTGTTGCTGTTCTAGTAGTTCACTGCCTGAACCCGAAAAACCCCGAAATGCTGATGTCCCCCCCACATTGCTCCCTGGGCTCCTATCACCTGGGCACACACTGCTTACCTGTCAGCACCTCTGTTCCATATTTTGTTCCTGGAAAGCTTTTGGCAGAGCATTCACTGGGGCACTCCCCAGCTGCTCTCACTGTTCCCCTGTGCCGCAGCCTGGGGCCAGTGCAGGAGCTCAACCACGGCCCCTCTGGGCTGCAGCACCTCCAGGCCTGGGGCACGGCCCTGCCTGACCCCCATTCACCTCCAGAAATTGCAGCCAGGGCTGGAGGGAATTCCCTGTGTGTCCCAAAGCTCCCTCCCTTCTCCGTGCCTCCATCCCAGTAACATCCACTGCTCCCGTTCCTCCCTGGCAGGGGATGCAGCTCCCTCCAGAAAGGGACACCCCTCCTTCCTTGTTTGCTGCAGGAGTGTGTGGCTCTCAAGGAGAAGGAAGGTGAACGTGGGAAGAAAATGCTCCATGGTGTCCTGAGGATAGCCAGTCAGCAAATGTGCTGAGAGCTCACTTGGAGCTCCCACAAAAAAAAAAAAATCAAAGGAATGTCAGGACGGGAAAGGTGCAAATGGACCTGCTGGCCAAAGTGAAGAAATAAAGGACACATTTAAATGCATTTTTCATGTTCATTCCCATCATGAAAGGCCAGATTACATCGCCCTTTGAGAGCCCC